TCTGTTTACGAGCTTCCTTTTAAGTACTGGAAGGTCACAGTAAGATCTTCGCAGAGCTTTCTCCTCTCCAGGCTGAACAAACCCACCTGCCTGAGCCTTTCTTAATACCAGCCCTCTGATCATACTTGTGGCCTCCTCTGGACCTTCTCCAACAGCTCTGCAATCCTTCTTGTGCCAGGAGTGCCAGGCCTGGACACAGTACTCCAGACAGGGCGTCATGAGGCTAGAGCAGAGGAGAACATTCCCCTCCCTCTCTCTGCTGGCCACCCCTCTGTTGATGCAGCCCAGGATATCGCTGGCCTTCTGTGCTGCAAGTGCGTGCTGCTGGCTCTTGTCCCTCTTCTTGTCCACCAGGAGCCCCAAATCCTTCTCCACAGGGCTGCTCTTAATGACTTCTTCTCCCAGTCTGTACTCGTATCTGGGATTGCCCTGACCCAAGTGCAGTGCTGTGTACTTTGGCCTTACTGACTCTCGTTTGGTTCTTGTGGGCCCTTCTCTCAAGTGTATCTAGGTTCCTTTGGATGGCATCCTTTCCTTCTGTCGTATTAACTGCAACATTCATCTTGGTGTTGTCTGCAAACTTGCTGAGGGTGCACTCAATCCCGTTGTAGTTATCATTAGTAAAGATATGGACGAGCACTGTTCCCAAAACAGGACCCTGGGGAAAGACACTAGTTATTGGCCTCCACCCTGGACGTAGAGCCATTAACCATAACCCTCTGGCTGTGGCCATCCAGCCAATTCTTTATCCACTGAATATTCCACCCTTCAAATCTGTATTTCTCCAGTTTAGAGATAAGGACGTGGTGTAGGAGCATGTCAAAGGTGCTGCACAAATCCAGCTATATGACATCAGTTGCCCTTCTTTCGTCCGCTGATCACTCCATTGTAGAAGGCCATGAGGTTGGTCAGGCACGATCTGCACTTTGTGAAGCCATGCTGACTTCCAGTGAAGACTGAGGCAAATAACTTGTTGAGTATGTCAGCCTTTTGCTTGTGACGTCTGTTGTAGTGAGTTCTCCCTTCTCATTTACCAGATGGAGGTATACTCTCCTTGGCCTGTCTCTTCAAACTAATGTACCTGTACAATCCCTTCTTGTTACATTTCACATCCCTTGCTAGGTTCTGTTTCACGTGTGCCTTAGGGCTTTCCTGATCTCATTTCTGCATTATTCCTCAGTCTCAAATCCCTGCTTTTGCTTCCTGTACATGCCCCCTTTTTTCCCCTCAGTTTAACCAACAGGTCCTTGCCTAGCCATGCCAGTTTCCTGCCTCTTCTGCTTGTTTTCCTCTAGTGGGAGACAGAGAGCTCTTGTGTTCTCAGAAAGGTGTCCTTGAAGAGCTGCCAGCTCTGCTCTCTTGTCCATAAGGACAGTTTCCCAGGGAATCCTGTCCAGCGATTTAAACAGCTGGAATTTTGCTTTCCTGAAGTTCAGGTTCCTGACTTCGCTTTTTGCTAGGCCTGTATTCCTTGAGATCACAAACTCAGCCAGGCCATGATCTCTGCTTCAATATTAACCTTTTTAATGATCTCCTGTGTTGGTCAGCACCAGGTCCATTATTGCTTCATCTCTGGTTGATTTATCTACTGCCTGGATCTAGAGGTTATCCTCAGTGCACTCCTGAATTTCCTGCATCATGCCATGCTGCTTTCCCAGTGTTTCTTTTTAGTGAGATGCTGCATGTTGGCAGCAAATAAGCTACATCATGCCTACACCTCTAGGTTTTTATTATCTCATACTTCTGTTGTCTGTGCAGTTATTCATTTTATTGGAGACTCTAAGCCAGGTGATCTTGGTTTAAGAACTGCTGTAGATAGACATGAATTAGCGAATCATTGGAGCTAGTGGCAAGGTTTTTGTTACATTAGGTGGCAGGTACTGGTAAAGGTTGGGTTGCATGGGGCCCTGGGCAACTGCTCTAGTACTTAATCTAGTGACTGCCAACCCTGCCTGTGGCGGAGGGGTTGGAACTTGATGATCCTAGAGGTCCCTTCCAACCCAAGCCATTCTACGATGCTATGATCTTAACTTGGCACTAACTTGGTTTTGGAAGTCTACCCTTAAAAAAAGCTTGTGCTCTGTCACTTATGAATCATTCTGATTTTCTCATTATCAAGCTTTTAAAGCTTTGAAGTAGAATAACGTGCAAGTCCAATGGTGGATGTGTTATGGTGTTGATTGGAATAGGGAGGAATCATTTCTCTCTCAAAATTCTATTTTGATTTAAATGACAACAACAAACAATTGGCTGAGTTTTGAAGGAATCATAGAATCATAGAATGGCGTGGGTTGAAGAGGATCATAATGTTTACTTTCTAGTTTCAACCCCCTGCTATGTGCAGGGTCACCAACCACCAGACCAGGCTGCCCAGAGCCACATCCAGCCTGGCCTTGAATTGCCTCCAGGGATGGGGCATCCACAGCCTCCTTGGGCAACCTGTTCCAGTGCTTCACCATCCTCTGTGAAAAACTTCCTCCTAATGTTTAACCTAAACCTCCCCTGTCTCATTTTAAAGCCATCCCCCCTTGTCCTATCACTCTCCACCCTCGTAAACAGCCATTCCCCCTCCTGTTTATATGCTACCTTCAAGTATCGGAAGGCCACAATGAGGTCTCCCCAGAGCCTTCTCTTCTCCAAGCTAAACAATCCCAGTTCCCTCAACCTTTCCTCATAGGAGAGGTGCTCCAGCCCTCTGATCATTTAGTGACCCTCCTCTGGACCCCCTCCAAGAGCTCCACATCCTTCTTTTGCTGGGGGCCCCAGGCCTGGATGCAGTACTCCTGATGGGGCCTCACAAGAGCTGAGCAGAGGGGGACAATCACCTCCCTCTCCCTGCTGGCCATTCTTATTCCTAAATTATCTTGCATTGGACTTCCAGTGTATAGCTGAAAACAGCGGAAATGCAATAGGTAGCAAGAGTAACTATTCATAGAAAGAAGCAGTTTGCTCTTGTGCCTTACTTTCTGTATGAACACAACAATTTGCCAGCAAGGGACATGCTGCTCTGCTTTTAAGTGAAGCAGTTGTGACAACCTGGCTACTGTGTTAGAGCCTCCCAGTATAACTTCAAGCCTTGGAACCTGGGAAGTGAGAACATAAATTGGAGGCCACCATCAGTAGTAACAGAAGAACAAAGACATTTTACTTTTATCTTGAATTATCTTCAAATTAATATATGAGAAATGGGAGTTACTGCTGTAGCAAAATAAATCTACTCATCACCAAGTCACTATTGCGTGTAATCTATCTAATTCTGCTGTACAAAACCTGTGATAGAAGCAATAATTGTAACTCACAAATAGTTAACGATAATTTTTCTCGGAGATAAGAGAAATTGGTATCATATCTACTTTGGAAACTGCTCATTCAGCTAGTTAATTTATTAAAATGTTTGTCCATCCAAGGCTGAATTGGTTGAAAAGAAATGGTATTCCTTGATATTTATAATGGATATACCTTAACAGAATTGTAGAAATAATTCTTTGAACATAACAAATTGATTCATCTTGTGAAAATGATTCAGTTAACATTTTTGTATGCAGTTTTCAGTATAAATCATCCATGTCTTAGGAATCAGTTCTTCTCAGTGAACATTCAGATCTAAGAGTGGGTTGAAAGTCCTCTATTTATATTGGTGTGTCGTAGAAATGCTGATTTTCTCCCCAGAAAAGCTGAAGTTACCTGGTATGTGCAGGGCTGGGTTTAAGATCAGACACAGTTATGTGTCAGTTGACCTGTGTTGAGGTAAGATTAGAAATAAGAAACACTAACCAGATTTTCAGGTGTTAAATAAGATATCCAGGGGCTGTTTCCAGGCCAATTTTATTATTTCTGGATGCAAAATTTAAGTTAGTCTGTTTTATATTTTGAAATATATTAAATTCCTTTAAAAGTTATATGCCATTTCCTTTAGGTCTCTGGGATTTGGATGGAGGGTAAGTCAAGTGTCTGTCTTTTAAGAAGCTGAGTGCATAACATAGACCTGTTAGTGGGCAATGAGTTTTACTTCAGGAGTGATGCAGGGGAGAGTTTTTGTGTCTGTATTTTGTTTGCCGCTAGTTGCATGCTGTATGGTTTTAAGACCATACAGGGTGAGAAAAGGACATTAGATGATCTGAAGCAGCGACCACATCCCAGGAGAAATTGCTTCTAGAGATGTCTCAGATAGAAAAGGTCCCTGACCAGGGCTTCAGTAATTAAAAAAAATTCAAAATTCAGAACTTGCAGTGAAGTCTTTCAGACTGCCGTTTTTAAAGCACTTGTGTTGACTCTTAAAAGCTGTTTTACTTACGTTAATAAGGTACTGAGGGGCACATCTGGAAAGGAATTAAGTTGAATAACCTTCCTAAATCTTACAGGTGTTGGGTGGTTAGATATCTCAACAGACTTTGTCTTGAAGCGCTGCCATAAGAATGGTAGACGAGAAGGCAACAGAAGAAATGTTTAGCACATTGCTTAGATAATGTATGATTAATGGATGCTGTGTGTTAAGCTGAAGGACACATTTGGTTAATGATCTGTTTGCTTCCTATGCAATTTCAGAATAAGAGATTTCATCATAGAACAGAAACATGTTAGCACAAGAGGACTGACTTGAAGCGGATTGGTTGTCCCAGCACGTAACCGCTTTGCTTTCTAACTGTAGTCTTTGAATGAAATTTTAAATGCAGTTTCTCTGTGGATAATATGTCTGATACTGTGGATATTCAGAATCCCCAGAGACAAAAAATATCGTGTCACGTAAACCTTTTTGTTGGTCCTGATGGATTTTCTTTGTTACAGGGCTTTTTCATTGTTACGCTTTCATGAGCACTTCTTCTGTCTGGTAGAAGTAAATCTGGGAACGGCTCTCATACTATGTGTATAAATATTGCTGTCCATGAAAATGGTTAAATTAGCTTTTTACTGCCCTCTTGTTGTAGTCAGTCACCGTTTCTAAGAACTGTTACATTGCTTTTGGTGCCTTCATTAAATGCATTTTTTTCCCTGTGTTTCAGCTATCAATTAGATGTTGATATGTAAAGCAAAATGGCAAAAATCAACACCCAGCACTCCTACCCTAGCATGCATGGACTGTCTGTCAGAACTACTGATGAAGATATTGAAAGGATTGAAAATGGCTTTATCAGGTAATGTGTTTGTTTCATCGCAATCAGATAGCCACAGAATTTGAGGCAGTTCTCTGTATCTGTATTTTGGAAGTGATCACATCTCCGTTGACCCTTTGTATTTAAATGACCTAGTGGTGTATTTCCAAAGTACAGAACAGACAGCAATGGGAAGGTTATCATGGTTTGTAGTTTTGTATCCAGGACCTGTATCACCTGAGGAATAAAACACATTTTCCCATTGATGGGAATTACACCATCTCTATAAGGATGAGCATCTTTCTTGAATCAGCTTGCAAGAACCTGCACTTGGAGTGTGTATGGGACGAGCAGAAAAAAGGCTCTTGCCAGTACTATGAAAAGCCTTAGGAAAGTTTTTAAAAGCAACTTCTTCAAAGTGTTTAGCTCCACTGTTAGGAAACGTGTAGCATATAAAGCATAACAACATTTTTTTTACTGGCTTTTCAGAGCTTCACACTGTACAGTTGAGCTGTACTTGTTTCCTTACACTCACTTTTCTCTGTTTCAGGGTTTTTTTTTAAGTGGCTGCATAAAATATGCCTATGTGCTGTACACATATATTTTATGCAGTCCCAGTCATTTCTCTGGTCTGGGCAAATGCTACTGCAAGAAATTGTCTGATGATATACAGCACTTGTGCAGGCTGGAAAACGTTGCCTGCTTTTGGCTTCTTGTGGTCAACTGCCTCAGCTGTGGGGGCTTTGTCAGACTGACTCTTGTTGACCAAATATTTAAAAGCCTGTTAGAACTGCTTGTATTGTGATAATTTTGGATCATGTGCCCCTAGCATGTAGTGTGGATGTGATCCTTGTCCTCTTCATGTTATTTATTTTTTTTCCATTTCTGCTTTGCTTATGTGATACCTTCTGGTATGTAGGTGTACTCACACTAGTGAAAATGGAACTGCTTTGATTCTCTGCAGTATGGCTTGCTTGATTTAGTTAATACTGCTTCATGTTGTTCTTCGAGAGATTGGAAGCATCAAGTCTCTTTGTCTTCATTTACAAACGTACCTCAAAAGCAGGGAAAACACACATTGCATTGAGCCTTCATTTTATGCCCCCTTTTTTTGGTAGAAAATATCAGTGATTGGCAGCTTAGAACTTACTAGTGGAAGTGAGAAGCGTAGTTACAAAGGTTTGAATGTAGAATTAAATGGCTGCAGTCAATGAGGCAATGGCTTAAACATAAAGGGGCGAAAGTATGAATTACACTTTATGATGGTAAGAGTCTTGATGGACCATTTATTTAAAATGAAGGTCATTGTGGTCAGCATTGATTATGGGATTTCATAGATGAATAAAAACAATTACAGGGTCACTCTATAAAAGAGATCTCACATTTAAGGTTTTTCTATTGCTGAAGTGATTGCCAAAAAATGGTTATATAATACTTTTGTAATGCAGCTAAAAAAATGGTATGTATATGGGCAAAACTCAATATGCTTGTGTTCATTAGGACACAGATGCATTTTAGACCACTGAATCTATGAGAGTATGATTGTTATTTAACAGAAGACAATTTTTAATTTTCTTTGATAAGACAGAAACCTTCCATTCTGTTTCTTTTGGCAGAAGTTAATCCTTTTTTCCACAAAAAGACAATGGGAATTATGGCGAGGGGAGCTAATAAAATGTATTTCATGCATTATCTGTCACGAACATCGCAGATTGTTTCTCTTTCCAGTTCTGAACTTAAAACCTCAATCACTGTCAGAAGAAACTGCCACTTTCAGATCTTCGCATTGAAGACAGTTGTTGGGCATTGGTCTTCATGCAAGACTTCATGCAACTTCATGCAAGAAGAAATTCTGATACACATTTTTGAAATTCAGATTAGCAAAAATTAAAACTGTAAACACAGGGGAAAACAAACAAACAAACAATCAATCCAGCCAACCATAGGTTTTCTAGACTAGTGACACTGCTCCTTATTTTCATTTAAGTCCTGCTGGCTCTAGTTCAAGAAAACAATTAAGCACATTACTTAGTTCCCATTACAGTCGGTGGGTGTTAATTTTATGCTTAATGCTAAGATGTGCTTAAGTGCTTTCCTGTAGTGGAATGTGGTATTATCAAAGAAAAGCACTCACTGGAGCAATTAACAGAAAGCTGCTGGTGGTCTTCAAATTGTAATTTGCTCATCTGGCAGATGAAGTAGCTAAGCTACTATCCATTGTATTTGAGAAGCTGTGGCAGTCTGATGAAATTATCACTGACTGGAAAAGGGGAAACATTACCCCCATTTTGAAACAAGGAGAAAAAGGAAGATCCAGGGAACTACAGACCAGTCTTGCCTCTGCCCTGCAAGATAATGGAGCTGATCCTTATAGAAACTGTGCTAAGGAACATGGAAGACAAAGAGGTGATTGGTTGCAGTATGGCTCCACTAAGGGCATATTCTGCCTGCCAAATGTAGTGGCTTTCTGTGATAGGGTTACAGCATTGGTGGGTAAGGGAAGAGCAACTGACACATCAACACTCCTGCCCACCCTGGTGTCATCTGCTAATGTACTCAATGTGCACTCAATCCCTTCATCAAACTTGTTGATAAATATTTTAAACAAAACTAGCCCCAGTACTGAGCCCTGGAGCACACCATTTGTGGATTTAACTCATTCATAATGACCTTTGGGGCCTGACTATCCAGCCAGTTTTTACTCCAGTGAACCATACATCTCTCCAAGCTGGGAGCAGCCAGTTTCCCTAGGAGAAAGGTGTGGGAAACAATATCCCATGAGGATCATCCAACTCCTGGCTCCCCACAGCACCACCCCAAATTCAAGCCCTCAGAGTGGTGTCCAAATGCTTCTTGAACTCCAGTAGGTTCAGTGCCTTGACCCCAAGAGAGCCTGTTCCAGGGCCTGACCACACTTTGGTGAAGAACCCCCAAATCCCTTTCTGCAGGTCTGCTATACAAGCCTCTCATCCCCCAGTCTGAATTTATATCCAGGGTTTCAACTTAAGCTGAGGAGGCACAGTTATCTAGTGTTCCTACTTTGTAACCTGCTCTCTGTTTCTTAACGTTGTGTAGTCTCTTCTCGTGGTGGTTTCAAACTATGTAACATAATGGGACAATAATGGCAGTCCTTTCTGTTCTGCTGCAGATACCAGCCAAACTAATGGAGTCCAGGATAGGAGTGAGTTTGTGTTCATAAAAATAAAGTCAGAATTAGGCCACGTGCACTGAAGGTGTTACTTCAGAAGCCCAGTCTGTAACCTTCCTCCGCATTGATAGAAAGTCAGTTCACAAATGAGTTCTCTTGTGTTGTGTGAACGTGGTTGAGAAAAATCAGAAATGAGCCTGTGAGTTTTATAAGGAGTTACAATAGTGGAAGGAAGAGAGCATTTTAGATTTACTTTTCAGTTTGCTTGTGTGAATTAAAGTGGAATGTGTTCATAATTGCGGTGTAATGTTGGACAGATGCTTCCACAGCAGTTTCCTGGTAACGTCCTGTGAGTATTACTGTAAAGGTGAAATGCCAGTCCTTTAGTGCTGTTTCTGCAAACTTCTTTTGATATTCTTGAGTTGTCTGTACATGCTGCAACTTTTTTTGTGAAGTAAACCTGAATTTACTAAAAGCAGTTAAGCTGCTGCAGCTTAAATACTCCTCTTTTTTTCTTCAAACCTGTGTTCTGTTAATTAGAATAATTTTCTAAGAATTCTTTCTGCCTCCTTTGAAAATGTCTTTTCAGGACTCAAAAATGATGGTGATTAGTAAGTAAGAACAATAGCAACATTAGAATCCATGCTGTTTAAGAACAAGCAAGATATATATTTTCCTGTAAGGAGGAATACAAGGTAGTAAAAACAGGCATAGCGCTGCAGTCTAAAGGATGCTGTCAACTCTTCCCCAGCAGGAGTGCAGATGCTTCAGGAAAAGAAGTGGAGTGGGGATAAAGGAGCAAACTGCAAGTATCTATGCTTGCCTTAGTCCTAGCATCTAGGTCAGCAGAATTCCTAAGCTGGGTGTAGGCCCTGTGTATCCAGTAGCCTATAATGGGTTTCTGTCCCATGAGTTTGCTCGTTGTCCCTTAGGAGCTGGATTGACCTTGGCAACCCCAACAGTCACAACGCCCACAACGTAAACTGGGTTGTAAAACTTTTTCAATTCTAACCTGTATCTCTTGGTGTCTTATTAGAAGAGGAAAAGAAAACAATTAAGAAATTGTGAATCCCAGGAGTCACTATCTTTTGTAGTATGGAGATGCAATGAAGTTTTAATTCTTTGTCTGCCAGCTTCCCTGCTGTGAGTACAGACAAAACTAAGCTGCTAATTATCCTGTTGCTGGCACTCAAAATGCTGCTGCCAGTTCTTATGAAGTTAGTGTAAGTATCACCATATTCAGTGCTTTTGTGGCAGTGTGGATTAACAGAGTCATGTGAGAGATTGTTTGCATTACGAAGGGAGAAAAACGTGATCCTTGATGAAACGTGGTGATGGCATCTTGTAAAGGAAAACACAGAGAAAGCCTCAGGAGTCATAAAAAAATCCACAGTGAGCTTTGATAAAGTCCTGGTTCCATTGAAGTCAGTTCCAAAACTCCATTACAGAAAGATAAAGCCAAAGCTTCATCTATTATTTTTCAGTGCTAATTATTTCTGTGCTAATAAGCAGTCTTACAGGAACTCACGTGAGCTGGCAGACACTGCATGTGACTTGACAGTATAATCACTATCTGCAGTTGCATGCAGCTGAGATTCTGCATTGTTTTCTGTGTCTCATCACCACCAGAGTAGCTCTGAACATCTATAAGCCTGTTTTACCATGCAGTAGGCTGATTTTCACTTACGGAGCAAGTAAGAACAGTAGCGGTGCTACTCAGTGTTATCTACTGTAGAATCAGTATTTTTCCCTTTCAGTCTAGACAAGGAGCAAAAGGAAAAAGAGGTGTTTGCTTTGAGTCATAAAATGGAACCACATTGGTGGAAATATCAGACTGTTAAACCCAAACAAGGTCTAGGAGATTAATACTGAAAAAAACAGTGGGCAGTCACTTTGAAGCCCCCTGGAGGCTCAGAACTTTCCTCCCTGCTGAAGGAAAGCTGCTGATGCAGTGCAGGAGGAGTGCTAGGAGACTAGCAAATATGCCCAAGGAGGCTGTGGATGCCCCATCCCTGGAGGCATTCAAGGCCAGGCTGGATGTGGCTCTGGGCAGCCTGGTCTGGTGGTTGGTGACCCTGCACAGAGCAGGGGGGTTGAAACCTGATGATCATTGTGGTCCTTTTCAACCCAGGCCATTCTATGATTCTATGATTCTATGAAGTGTTCTTCTCTTAATTGTGTATCACCAGAGTGGTAATTGACATGTAAGAAATCAGCTTCTGACCTTGCGGGGACAGGTGGCAGAGCCTCGTCTGCCTCATTCATGTTGGATGGCTCCAGAAAAGTGGGAATATGGGTTTCACTGTACATTTATCAAATGCATGTCTTATTAGTAGAAAGAGGATAATTTGCAATATTGTTCTCTGGTGCAGTGGTGTTAATAATTGGATGGGTGAAAATCTGCTGGAGGCTGAATATAATTTAAAAACCATTTCCTTTTGCAGAACCCATTCACTGTGTGAGGATACATCTTCAGAACTGCAGAGAGTCATTTCTATGGAGGGAAGACATCTATCTGGATCACAAGCGAGCCCATTCACAGGCAGGGGAGCAATGGCAAGGTAACATGCTAATTAACACCATTTTCAGTATTAGCATATTTGAAAGAGACAGATCACTATTTATTTCAAGGTAAAGTAAGAAGAGCCATCACTTTCCAAAGAAGATGGATGGAGTGCAGCTAAAGATCCTGTATAGAACGTGACTGAGGCTTCTTTAGACATCGATTCTGAACTCATTGCTTTCTTGTTTGTAATAAAAGCCTTGGGATCCTAGAGGTGCTGGATGAGCTCACACAAATTAGTCTGATTAAAGAAAAAGATTTTTTTTTTTTACAAGATCTGATTTGAAAAATATTGAATGCTGAGCAAATGCAAGAAGTGACAGCAGGAATGACTCAAGACTGTAGAGTGAATGGATAAGTGGTTCTGGCTGGTAGCTGATGCCGTGTTATTTTCCTATCAGGTGTGGGCTAACAATTGTTGCCTTGTTGACGGGTATTTCTGGCAAAGGAGGAGATAGGGTGTTTGTGTTGTGAATGCTGGAATTTCTGTTTCTAGAATCCACTTTTGTTTGTAATGAAATGGGAGCCTGAGACAACGAATTTCAAGTCAACCATTTGCTCAAGTCATTTACTTTACATAGACTTAAAACACAAACCTGAAACAGAGCTTCAAAAACTTTTTGTGTTGACTTTAAAGATTTCCAACTGAGACTGCAGAGCACTTTCTCTCCTGATGCCATGATGGTACATGCTACAGAGCATACTGAGTTTAAGCATAGTGTATTTCGAAGAAAAATATTGCTATAAAACTGGAGTCATTTAAAGAGTTTACATTTCAAGGTTTTGGGTGGTAGAGAACAAACTTGTGTTGCCTTATTTGGTTGTCAGGTGATGACACCACTGTGTGTACATTACAAAGCCTGCAAGAAGTTGATTTTAGGTGGAAAACGTTTTTTGGTGTATGTTGAAAGCACCTACATGTGTAAATCAATACTGAAAGCTTCTTAATGTTAGTTTATATTATTCTATACCCTCTTCCAGAATACTTTGAGTTACATGCATGTATAATTTCAATTTCTGACTCTCTGAATCTGCAAGGAAACCTTTGATACAAACACGAATGCTCAGCAGTTTAAATAAAGTATAGCAGTATAACAGGCCTCTCAAATGCAGATTCTCAAAGACCTAAGATAACAGCCTCTGCTGGACTTCACTGAGAGTATCTTAGGACAAAAAAGGTGAGAATAAAACAGTATGGCAGAAATAAGAAAAGGCTTTCTTTCTTCAAATAGAGAAGTTCTCAATCTTATTTTGGGGAATCTGTTTGGCTTCTTAACTAACAGTTCTCAAAATGCCTTGTTTCCTAATATAAGTAAGAGCATCCATGTCAGTGGTTTTTCACACCACTTCTTATGTGAAAGCTGAGTTCTGCTCAGATAAAGAGGAAAAAAAATCACAATTTAATTTTATGCAATGCTTTCTAAATGAGTTAGGAATCTATTAATTCATCTCAGACTTTGATGTGGAGCTTTGTTTTAATTTTGCAATCCTGGTAGATTTTGAATTCTCTTAGTTGTTGGACATTGGTGACGATTTATATGGTGCTTTGTTGGTATAGGTATAAAGAACTAAAAATGTCTTTCTCTAATTTCTGACATGTGGTATTGTTCCTGCTTTATTTGTCCTTTTATTTCAAGGTAAGAAATCCTGGGCAAGATCTATGAGATGGTATAGTTAGGCCCTGGAGAAGTGCAGTAAGACAAGTGTACTTCATCATAAGATTGTAATATTATCCAACATGAAGGGAATATGAAGAGCTTTCCTTGAGTAGCCCAGAGCTCCTGTAAGAAGTTACAGGTTGTTGAGGATTTCGTTATGGCATTTTCATGGACAAGGTTGGGAAACCTGAAGTAACACTACTTTTGTCCAAATTGGTCTGCTAATGAGAAAGAATAAAGAATATTGTTTGGGGAGTCAATAAAATCTAATCTATATATTTCAGTGTCTGTTGTTTTCAGTTTTTCAGAAGCACGTTTTTGTTTGAACTTTGGTAACATTACAAGAATTTGTGATGTGTTTCAGTCAATTAGTGGGAGCATAAAATGAGTCGTAACAATACAGTGATAAATTAGTTTTGTTGCATGATGTTCTGCTTATCCAATTTCAGTGCTCTGTTTGAAATTTAGGATGAGGAAATAGTGCTGTCTATGCAGTAGGCAGGTTTATGTGCAGTGTGCAATTACTGGATCTGCAGACAGACTCTTTACAACCTAAGGGAAAGTGACTGAAATTTTACCATTCCTTCTTGCAAAGTCCGTCCTTCTTCACCAACTATTCAGCATTTTTTTCTACTGTGTGTACCCTGAGAATACGTTCTTGTGAGTATTTTATGTCTCCTGATCTGTCAGTCCAAGATTCCTCATTATCACATAAGGTCAGAAGTTTTTTGTCTCCATTGTGACCACTTGGCAAATCCATCTTTAATCGGAGTTTTTCTATCACCTCTGCAGTGCTGGTACAGTAATGATGTGTGAGATACTTTCCTGATCAATTACAGGAGATGATGTATGAAATTGTGGAAAGTGTCTTAAGTTCACACTGTTAATCTATCAGGCCTCATTTCTGTGGCAGGTGCAGAAGTGGAGAAAAATCCCCCTGAACTGATACTGTGGGGAAAACTTAATCCATCTGACGTCCTTGTGTGGTTCAGTCAGTGTTGTGTATCTGTTCTGCACAGGCTGTCACGATTTGTTGTATCTCTGAGGTCGTGGGCTACAAGACATCTACACCATGAAGACCAAAGGCCTGATTCTTTCCTAGAGCGTATCCGAGGGCCAGAGCTTGTAGAGGTGTCCAGCAGGCAAAGTAACATCCGCTCCTTCCTGGGCATCCGTGAACAGCCTGGGGGAGTAAACAGGTAAGCAGATGTACTTAGATTTCAGGGGAAGACTGAATATGTAAATTACTGTTCTAAATGTAACTCCAGCCAAGAGAGGAAAATGAAGTCGAAAGACAAAAGTTTGCCTTCTGCTTGGCAGTATGCTGTGGAGCACAGAATCCCATGGCTTTTTACTTAGTTAAAGATTGGAATGTAAGCAATTAATCACTTCATTTGTATCAAGAGTCCAGCTAATAAGTTAAATTAAAGCAGAAACTTCGAGGGGCTCTGCATGGTAGTATAGGTGACATTGATTTGTTGTCAGTGATGAACACAGCCTCATCATCTTCATTTGATCTGCTCCTTAGAAATTCAACTTAAAAGCACATTTTGTTGAATTAGCCAGACTGCTGTCCATTAATTGCTCAAATGAGCAGACAGTTTTTTTTTTTCAGATGCCTCTGTCAGTAACAGTTGCAGGTTCCAAATCATTAGGGAGAACACTGATCTTGGGCCAACAAGCCTCTATACAAGGAAGTATCCATCCTTGCCTTCTCCTGCTTACACTGTGGCTGTATTACATTAACTCTCAGTTGTTCTACTGTGAAAATTCAATTTTGCAGCACTGGTAGGTATGCTTGTCACAGAAACCTTGGCGCTGCATTTGTGAAGAAGACTTGGGAGGACTGAAGAATGTTCAGAATAGCAACGGAATGCTTACAGGGCTAAAAATAGCGAGTTGCATGTTACCATGCACTAATACGCCTGAGAACAAGCTTCAGCCATCAGGTGTGGTCACAAACGTGTATGCCCAGCACGTGATAAAGAGAAACTGGTGCCTTGAAATAGTTATGCAAAGGGGCTTAGCGCCGCAGTCAAAGTTGACCTTCCTAATCTTATCAGTGTATATGTGAGAGGCCAGTAAGTCAGGCTGTCATGTTGGTAAACACGTGTATGAAATGCCAAAAACCTTTACGCTCTTCAACATGTTTTATTTCAATCGCTGCAGTCCGTGGCCCTTGGCCAGGTTTAATGTCAACTTTAGCAACAACACCAATGAAGAGTAAGTACTGATAACTTCCATATGCCCTTCTGCTACTAGCTCCTTTTTTTTCCCTTTCCAGCCTCGTAACATTTGTAGTATGAACTCCTTATCTCTTCTTAAGCCCTTTCTAAGGCTTTAAGCCTTTCTAAGGTTTTAATTATAAAGAAAGATCTAGTTTTCTCAGTATTAGAAGCATCCTTCGTGATCCCTTTTGTCTGGTTACCCTTACTTTCCAAGTATTGGATTAATTAAGCATTTGGTCCTTACCTCCTTTTATTCAACTGGCTGATTTCACTGCATTACCAATTGCTCTATTAATGTTTCAATTTTAAATGAGATTAAGATATTCGTTTTCTGATGGTCCTTTTCCTCTTCTAACATACTCAATCTCCTTCCGGAAAACTTAAGTGCTGCCAAAATTTCAAAGTTGTCACCTGAGATGTGGATATGGAGCAGGGTACCAATAAACCCTTTCTGTAGGCATTCAAAATGAACACTAACCTTCTTTCTAAAATGTGTGTTTTAACTCAGCCTGATATGGTTGCTGTAGATGTAGAGAGTGTGATAGGCAACATAATAAGGCTTCCATTGCAACAGAAGTTTTGACAGAAGCTGCTCTATTTTATTTATTTGACAAGGATATTTTACAGTTTCAGACCAAAGAGAAATCTCTTGAAAAGGTGAAGAACTCCTGTAATTTAAAATCACTCAACATTAATGCTCGTTGCATGTATTAAACCACAGCTATTTGAAGACATACCTCCTCTGTAGCATCTAGCAGTAGATTTTTATGTCATGGACTAGCAGCAAATTTCGTTTAGAAGTGATGCTGTGAAAGTTTTGTGCACATATCTCAACAGATCTTCCTGCTCCTGAAGCAGTGTTTTGGTTTGGCTCGCATAAATTTTGTTAAAGCTGAAATGGAAGCGCAGCAAACAGTGACAGAAATGTGCAGCATTTTATTTAGACTGGGAAAATTAAAGGTGCTGGAAGCCTGGAGCGCGGCACGCTCGCCAGGGCCCAAAGGACTGATTGGAATGGAAATGCTGCTTAGCCTGTTTCTGACAGTGACTCATGGACCTCGGGCACAACTTACATCCTTCAGGTGTTGCATTATTGCTGACTGAAGACAACACCTGTCTGTCTACCTGCCTGACCGTCTGAAAATTACTTGATTTGCAAAGTAGTCGACAGCTGAGAAGTGCAAATATTCAGCTCATTCACAGACTGTGACAGGGTTTCTTTGGAGATAATGAAGGCATTTTCTGAGCATGAAGGTGCTCCTTGTAATGTGCTGGAGACACTGAATAGATGCCACTGTATTGCTGTCAGTGATGACAGGCACAAACAGCTGTTAACTGGATTACAGTTTACTCAGTTGTACTAAGAAGGGAAAAAAGATGCAGGTCTTTCTGAAGTTGTGTTTTTTCCCGTGTGCGGAAGACCTGTGAGTTCGTGCTGTTGGGGAACTGTAGGTAGTGCTTTCAAGACTTCGATTATGGCCAACCTTTTCTTCCAAGTGACCTCAACTGCCAGACTACAGGTAGCTGTGATTACGATGTTAGGAGATACCTCGAGAGATGAACAGCAGCCGCAGAAATGGAAGAGCCTCACTTCCACTTTTTCACTGACTCTGTATCTCAGCCTACTTTTCCTTGGCTAACAGCCACAAATATACTGTCACGCTGCCCTTTGGAAATGTATTACTTTGTATCCATCTCTTCCATTCCAGTAAGAATGCCAGACTCTTGAAGTTTTCCCCAGCAGTGTGATAACGCTAACAGCAGCAACTGTGCATTGGCTTTTCAGACACCAAGCATAGCAATGCACAGAGAAATCCTGACATGTTTTCTACATAGGAAGGTGTTTTCAGGACAGATTTAAAAGAAATGCAGTAGAAGTCCAAGGGGCCAATGGCAGAGAAATAAACCATTTGAGTAGCAGTTCCTGCTGCTGTGTAGAAGTCAGCCTTGATGAATGAAAAACTGTTTCTTTAGGAAGCTTGCATGAATAATTTTCCAATTGTGCCCCTTTTAGTGTATAATTTTAAATGTTTCAGTGGTGTTGATTAATTTGATAGGTACTTTTCTAACTTTTTTTTTTTTTTAAGCAAAATTAGTCTGAGAGTTTCCAAATTATATTGTGATACTGTGTCTCTATGGAAATGTCCAAGGGTAAGAATTAGAGCATGTACACATTGCTGATAGGTAGAAGTTGTTCACTGGCCTATTGTATTGGTAAGTGCTATCTTCTTCCAGTCACAAGTCATCTTGTCCTGTTACAGAGATCTAAAATAGCTCATATTAATTGTGTTGACAATAAAACATTTACAAAATAACTTCCTTGTATGTGGATGTCAGAGATTAAGTGAAATGAGACGCACCTTGTTTCTCTATATTTGCTGCTTTTGTTCAAACATGGACAGGGATTCTTCTCCAAGGCAGTTGCTGAAAGCAGAGGTAATCAATTAATCACAGCTATGTTGGTTTTAAACAGCTGTGAGAAGAGGTTCAGCCTCATTTCATGTAATCACCAATAAAGCTTCAGATGGTCAATGTGAGGTTCTGTATATGTCATGAATATTGACCGTTTGTTAAGCCATTTTGTGGTCTGTTCTCATTAAACAGATTTCTTTTAAAGTGCTCAAATTCTAAGGATGGAACAAACTGGAAGCATTTAATTAAAACCAGCCTGGTACACTGCTGTATGAAAAGGCCAAGAAAACATGGGTGACTAATGCACAGAATCAGCCAATTGGTTGTATAATGTAGTGGTGTTGGTCTGAGAAGCCTGAGAACCATTTATACCAGTTGGATAAATGGTACCATTGAGAAATCCTGTCCTACCCCATCCAGAATCCAGGTCAATAGTTCCCTGTACCTCACTATTCACCCTCTCCCCTAGCTATTAGAGAATTGATAATATTTCTAAGACTTCGATATGTTGCACAGCAAAAAGGAAGAAAAGAAAGAGGTTAAAGAGGAAAAGAAAGAGGAAAAGAAGGAGGAAAAGAAAGAGGAAAAGAAAGATGATAAAAAAGATGACAAAAAAAAGGAAGAGTAAGTATAACGAATGTACTTGTAACACCTCTCCTGCACTCCAAAGCATGGTATGGTATTGAACTGGAAAACTCCTACTCCAGTTATTGATCTGTAGGCTGCAGAATGTTATATCGTAAACCTTCTATATGTTTTTGCTTTTGAAAGGGTGCAACTGCTCAACAGACTTGTTGTGTCTTTAATATTGTTGTTTAGATCTTCATGAGCAGCTCCCCAGGACATTAAAAGGGAGTTTGTCTACCTCTGGGCATTTTGTTTTCGTGTTCAAGATCACTTTATTCCTATTGGGGTGTTTTAGGATAGCAGCACTCTTTGCAAATCTGAACTGGATTTTCATGGTTCCAGAACATCTGTAACGATTTAGAGCTCACACCAAAAATGTAGTTTGGATGAAGAACAAAAATTTTACATGTAGAGAACTACAGATTTGCTTAATAAGTTTAGTTATTATAATTACACTGACCAGCACAACTGATTACTTAAAACTTGGCGTAGTTCTTTACTACTGATTACTGAAGTTTTCTCTTGCTGACCAGGAAGAGCTGCTGTATTTCTGCAACAAAATGAGACCATTGGCATGCTTTTGATATAAATAGTTCCTTGTTTTGTTCCCCAAAGGCTGACCTAAACTCAATATGATTTATATATATTTAAGTGTGTAGTGTGTCAGTATAGAGATGTGTAGGTAGGAACAGCTTCCAACTGGAATCTACTTGATCTAGGTATCTCAAGTTTCTTAACCAAAGCTTTGATTTGAAAGCCTGTGTTCAAATCTGTGTTCTTCAGCATCAGTTACTATGCAAAGACAACCTGAGTTTTACAGTACTGGAAAGTAGCTTCAAAGAAAATAAATGTTTCGAGAGTCAAAGAGGTAATGTTCTCTATTGTATAAAGACCATATTTCTTGGTCACCAGCTTTGTGATAATGACCAGTTTTTTGAGAAGAAATGGCTCAGATGCTGCTGTGAAGATGGCAGAGGAAATACTCATTAGATTAAAGCTGCTTTCTTTTTTTAACGTGTAGGTAGATTTTTACTTTGACGTTTTTAGATGTATTTTAGATACTTAGATACTTTTTAGATGTTCTGCTTTGTCTTTAGTGGGGGTCATATGCAGAAAAGGTGTTATTTTCAGCCTCAGCAATTTGAATAGCTCTGTTTTTCTTTCCAATCCCACTTACTTTTTCCAAAGCTGTGCCAAGCAGGAATGGAGCATCTCAAATAGGATGAAGGTAGTATTTCATCTGGGGTCATGGCATAGGTACTTTCTCAAGCAGATGTGAGTTAACCATGAGACGAGCGGCCTCCAAAGGAGGGGAATACCAGTAGGCTACTGTGAAATTTCAACTACAAATGTACATGTTTTGCTTTCCAGGCAGAAGAAAGAGGTCTTTGTGATTGATCCTTCAAGCAATATGTATTACAACTGGCTGACCATCATTGCAGCACCTGTGTTCTATAACTGGTGTATGCTTATATGCAGGTATGGATTTAAGTTAATAACAATTTTGGGATTCAAATTTAAAGTATCTGTGTTTCCTGCATAAATCATCCTCTGATCTCCCCGTAGTTTTTTATGAATTGCTTACCTAGAAGATTTACATATGTTTGTAAGTTCCTCTGGGAAAAGCTGGTCAATGCTTCTCCTTTATCTGCCTCAAAAACCCGACTGTAAGGTGCAAGGAGCATCCCCGTGCTGGCTGGCTGTGGCCTTGGTGTGCCACCTACTGGCTGGATGCAGAGATGTGCCTTGGCCCCTGCAGGCTCGGCAACTTTGTAATCGCAGAATCACGGAGTCGTGGGGGTTGGAAGGGACTTGCGGAGATCATCTAGTCCAACCCCTATAACAGCAAGTTCCCTACAGCAGGTTGCACAGGAAAGCATCCTGGCGGGTTTTGAAAATCACCAGAGAAGGAGTCTCTACAACCTCTCTGGACAGCCCTTTCCAGTGCTCTGTCACCCTCACAGTAAAAGTTTTCCTCATGTTCATATTTCTGTGTTCCACTTTGTGCCTCTTGCCCCTTGTTCTGTTGCTGGAAGCCACCAAAAAGATCCTGGCTCCATCATTTTGACCCTCGCCCACTAGAAATTTATAAGCACTGGTAAGATCCCACCTCAGCCTTTCCTTCTCCGGGCTGAACAGCCCCAGGTCTCAGCCTTTCCTTACAAAGGAGATACTCCAGACCTCTCATCTTCTTTGCATCCCTCTGCTGGACTCTGTCTAGAAATTCTCTGTTTTTCTTGAGCTGAGGAGCCCAGAATGGGAAACAGTGCTCCAGATGTGGCCTCACCAGGGAAAAGGAGCAGGGAAGGATCACCTCCCCTGACCTGCTGGCCACGCTCTTTTCAGTGCACCCCAGGATGCACCCCAGGCCTACTTAGCCACAAGGGGGCAAACAGCTGGCTCATTGCCAGCCTGCTGCCCACCAGGACCCCCAGGTTCTTCTGTGCAGAGCTCCTTTCCAGCAGGTCAACCCCTAACCTGTACTGATGCATGCAGTTTTTCCTTCCCGGGTGCAGGGCTCTGCACTTGACTTTGTTGAACCTCATCAGGTTCCTCTCCTCCCATCTCCAGCCTATCCAGGTCCTGTTGAATGGCAGCACAGCCTTCAAGGGTGTCAGCCAATCCTCCCAGCTTTGTATATCAGCAAATCCTCCAATAGAGAACAGTGGGGAAGGCTGCAGGCAATGAGGGGTCATCTTAAATTAATGTGAGGCATTTATGGATGCTTGAAGGATGGGAAAATGTTACTCAAGTGTTTGCTTTCCTGTTTGGGATGTGGGAAACAACTTCAGTCAAACTAACGGAGTGCTGTGGAAAGGGTTCACCTTGTGCCAAATGGCAGGGAGAGATGGAGATGGTTGGCCTCCCAGAAGCAAATATTTCAGTTGAGAATCACCTTCATGGTGATGTGTGTGGGTATGAGATGAGCATTCCTGGGGATCTTTCATGTGAAATCTGAGGCACATTTAAATGTAGGGGCACTTGCATGCCCCTATCTGTGTGTTCACATTTGTGAATTCTGCCAGATCCTAGTGTCTGTTTCGGCACAGCTTCAGTTTGCAGATGTCTAGGCATGGAGATGTGCTGCCCTTCATTTCATTGCCAGTCCACACTAGCACACTGTGGTTATATAGTTGGTCTAATGTTCTTTATTTCTATCTTTGTTTATTTAGAGCCTGCTTTGATGAGCTACAGGTTGACCATATCAAATTATGGCTGTTCCTGGACTATTGCTCTGATATCATCTATGTTTTCGACATGTTTGTCAGATTCAGGACAGGTGAGTTTTCTGGTGATTTTACAAAGTTTTCTGATACAACATGGACATCAAAGCAAGAAACAGATCTGCCAGGGTAGTGCCCTGTCTCAAGCAGCAGTGGAGGCTTTGGGAAAATGCAGTGTCGTGGCTTAAGGCTAGACTTACCAACACCTGCACTTCACTTGGCTCATCTTCAGCTTCCTCATCTTGTTTCTGTAGTCTAGGCAGGCTAAGATTTCATAATTAAGTGTGCCAACAGATACTGATTCTAGCCTTAAAAAAATCATCTGTTTTAAACTAAACAAGTTCATAATATAGGCTTACAGTGGTCCATACCACTAAATTGCTAGAGTAGTCCTTGATGCACTTTGACCTATTCCAGCTAGCACTCTTTCAAGCAGCATCCTGGCACAGCTAGGGGACAGCAGAGGCTGGGAGTTGTTGCTGGTATTATTTTTGGAGGGGGCTGGGAGAATTTGTGAGCATGAATAGAAGCTGTCACTGTAGCTGGTCTCCAGGCCAGAAAATGTTTCCTGGCTTGCACTGTTTACTGGTACATCTACAGCCCAAAGCATCACTTGAAAAGGTTCAAAAGTGCACTGATCATTACAAAAATGAGAGTTCTTTTAAATCGTTGAATTTTACATTTCTTTCTTTCTTTCTTTCTTTCTTTCTTTCTTTCTTTCTTTCTTAATCATGCTGACAGCTTGACACCAGTTATGGCTTGTGACAAGTTGTAAACATAATTACAAGACAGCTAAAAATGCTGTCAGTTTGAGAAGCACACAACTCACAGCAGCAAGCTGAATTCTAAAATCTAGCAGGTACCTTGTTCAGCAGAGATGTAAGTCTGTCACACTGAAGCCTAACCCTCAAGACTGCCATTTTTGGGACAACTTTGTATAGGCTATATTCTGCTAAAAAGCCAACTCTGCCCTCTAAGTTCCTCTTTTGCAGTTGTATCTGTCACTGTGATGGGAATGAACTGAGCAGAAACTGTGCAGTACAAGTTATAAGCTTTCCACAGGCTGCCCTGGTGATGGCTGTCGGAGCAGATTTGTTCTGCAGGCCTGAGTTGGACCACAGAAAGACCTCAGAGATCTGCTGAGAGCTTTGGTGCAGTGTATGCTGCAACTTCAGGCACTCACATGGGGGAGTTGGTTCTTTTAGGTGCTGAGATCTTTGACAACTCACTTTGCAACCCCTCCTGGCTCCACATGTGTTTGCTGTCTTCTCCTGTACCTGCAAGGTGCAGGAAGCTACTGAGGAAGAGCGTGACTCCATGCTGCCTCAGGGTAGGAACTGACTTCACACTGGGATCTGAGCAGCCCCACAGCTACTGTGATCTGTGGCAGCTTCTCTGTGGTGTGCTGCAGCTTCATTGCATTTCTCCTATGTGATGACTGCAGTGAGGCAGAAAGGCGTCACCTCTCACTGATCATCATTGGTTCACACCATGGTTGGATGCTTTCAGGAGGTTTTTCTGTAGAATGCAGCTATATGAAGGGACAAAACAGAGCTGAGGAGCTGTTACCTACCTTCAGAAGGGATGTGTTTTCAGAGCTATTTTTAACAACGATGAGCCAGAAATCCAGTTGCCTGGCCAGCTTTTCTGTCTAGGTATATAGCACTGCTAATAAGGACATATTTGAGCAGCTCTTCTAGCAGTTTCCTGTGAGGTGACGCATCCGTGCCACAACAACCGATTCTTTTTGTACTCACCATCAGTTTACAACTACCTACAGACTGATACACGCATACATGAGGCAGATGTGCAGGTATGCAGACATTCCAGAAATGCAGCAGTGCTGCACAGGGCAGAACGAAGTGCAGCTGGGTCCCCTGCAGCAGATGCTTCTCTGAGACAGTTGCTGTTGCAAGATTGCTAAACGAGGAGCAAAATGTGATAAGCTCTGATAAACAGGAAATCTCTCTGTGCACTTTTCCTCCTGCCTGCCCTAGCGGGCAGACACTTGGATGCAAGTGTTTTGCAGTGTGTAGGCTGCTCTCTGTGCAATGTATTTAATGCTGTGAGCTTTCAGAGGTAAGATCCAGTCCTGCAGCTGTGCTGCTCGTGCAGTGTTCCTGTGAGCACTCTTCTGCAGGTATAGTTTAAGGTCTTACTGCAGTTTGCATCTTCCCATAGCTCTTAAAATCTAATGCTTTTCAGAGTCTTTGGAATGAAGAAATACTAAGGTATAAGATTCTGCTTTCTGGCAGCTCTCTCACTGGAACACACAAAAGGAAGAGCAAAGCATTTGCTGCACCATGGAAAGTGAAGTCAGCTGTTACACTGGTGCAAGAGAAAAGGCATGGCTCCAGGGAAAATGGTTGTCATGGCCTTGGGGGTATCTGAATTCTTCTATAAAACTCTCTGGCAATCCATTACACCTACTTAGCATTTATTTAAAAATATTCCACTTTGATTTTATGCACGATTGCTAAGCACACGCTTAACTTCAGTTCTGAGTCATGCCAATGATTCATGAAATATGAGGCAGACCAACCTCCCTGTTCTTTTTGCAGATACCTAAAAGGCAAAGGTACAGCTGTCCCAGAGTGGGGCAGAAAACTGCAGGGAGCGCTGTGCTGAGAATGCAGTCATTGCTCTCATACGTGCCCAACCTGGGAGTTTCATGCTTTTGTTGCCCTCTTTTTTGGTTTGAATCAAAAATAAAACTAGGTTTTGTTGCTTAAATACATTTACTGTATTATATATTTTGTACGTGGCCCGTGACAATTCCTCTTTGCTCAGTGTGTCCAGGTGAGCCAAAAGGTTGGACACCCATACGCTACGTTGCTATTTACTGAAGTATTTAAATGTAGAATAAAGCATGATGTCACAGCGTGTTCCTGGCTGTATGCTTAACAGCACAAGCTTTCATGTTCTCAGGTGTCTGAAACATAAGTCATTCCGTACCGCTGGTGGTAATTCTGAACATCTCTTTCTATTCTTTAAAGGCTTCCTTGAGCAAGGCTTGCTGGTAAAGGACGAAAAGAAGTTACGAGATAATTATACCCAAACTGTGCAGTTCAAGCTGGACGTGCTGTCTCTTCTGCCAACAGACCTGGCGTATCTGAAGCTGGGTTTGAACTACCCTGAGCTGCGATTTAACCGCTTGCTGAGGATTGCTCGCCTGTTTGAATTTTTTGACCGCACAGAAACCAGGACAAATTATCCAAACATGTTTCGTATTGGAAATCTTGTCTTGTACATTCTCATCATCATCCACTGGAACGCGTGTATATACTTTGCAATTTCAAAGGTAATTGGCTTCGGAACCGACACTTGGGTCTACCCCAATGTATCCATCCCGGAGTACGGGCGCCTGTCGAGGAAGTACATTTACAGCCTGTACTGGTCAACGCTGACGCTGACAACCATCGGGGAAACTCCTCCGCCTGTGAAGGACGAGGAGTATCTCTTTGTGGTCATTGACTTCCTGGTGGGAGTCTTGATCTTCGCTACCATCGTCGGTAACGTGGGCTCCATGATTTCCAACATGAATGCCTCCAGGGCAGAGTTCCAGGCCAAAGTCGATTCCATCAAGCAGTACATGCATTTCCGAAAAGTAACGAAGGATTTGGAAGCCAGGGTTATTAAGTGGTTTGATTACCTCTGGACCAATAAGAAAACAGTGGATGAAAAGGAAGTTCTCAAAAATCTGCCCGACAAGCTGAAAGCTGAAATTGCCATCAACGTCCACTTGGACACACTGAAGAAAGTGCGTATATTCCAGGATTGTGAAGCTGGACTGCTCATCGAGCTGGTGCTGAAACTGAAACCTACTGTCTTCAGTCCTGGGGACTACATATGCAAGAAGGGAGATATTGGGAGGGAAATGTACATTATAAAGGAGGGAAAGTTGGCAGTGGTGGCAGATGATGGTATAACCCAATTTGTAGTCCTGAGCGATGGCAGCTACTTTGGTGAAATCAGCATCCTCAACATCAAAGGCAGCAAATCGGGCAACAGGAGGACAGCCAACATAAGGAGTATCGGTTATTCGGATTTGTTCTGCTTGTCTAAAGATGATTTAATGGAAGCCCTCACAGAATACCCAGAAGCCAAAAAGGCTCTGGAAGAGAAGGGCCGACAAATTCTGATGAAAGACAATTTAATAGATGAGGAAGCAGCAAAAGCAGGAGCTGACCCAAAAGACTTGGAAGAAAAAATAGACAGGCTTGAAACAGCCCTGGATACACTGCAGACGAGGTTTGCGAGGCTCTTGGCGGAGTACAGCTCTTCTCAACAAAAAGTTAAGCAGAGACTTGCCAGAGTAGAAACCAGAGTGAGAAAATACGGTAGTGGCACCCTATCCATTGGAGAAGAAGAGCCTGAAAAACCCGAGGAGCAGAAAAAGGACTGATAAGAGTATTTATATTTCATTACTTAATGGAGAAGGTTGGAATGTGTGAAAGCCATAAATGTATATAAATACGTGCGTGCATACATAGCCATGATTATTTTTATATGGACTTGAGAATGGTTTTTAGCATTTTTAACTGAAGCAGAATTTTTTTGTAAATAGGATAATGTCACCTTCTTCGTAGGGGAGATTTGGTCCATCATTTGGGTACATTTTTGTACTGGGAGTGGATTTCTTCTAAGTTATGCTCAGACCATCCGGTGCATGTATGGCATGTGTAGGTCTTGACACACTGTCTCTTCACACACACGTTGTGTTAAGAAGGCGTTATACTTAAAGTAGAGGGATTATTATGATTCTTTTTTTTAAGGCTTTGAAAGTATTTATAGAGTACATCTACCTTCCTAGACTATTAAATGCATGGATACACAGCCTGGCTTCTCAGAATCCTTCTTCTTTCACAGTGAAGCAGTCTGCACAAGCTGTAGGACTACGACTAAGAAGGCGCTTGGCCTACACAGTGTAGATCTATGTACAACAACCCCCACTTGAGAGGGAATCCCCAAAAGCTCACTGATGGAAGATGTCTGTATAACAATAAAGCTTTAGAAAACCTGGGAAGAGCAAAGAGTGTCTTGCAGCTCCTGGACACTTGGTTTGCTCAGTGCTGGAAGGACACTGCTAGGAAATTATGCTGCCCAGAGAGGTGGTGGATGCCCTGAACCTGGAGGGAGACACGGTCAGGCTGGATGGGGCTCTGAGCAACCTGATGTAGCTGTAGGTGCCCCTGTTCATTGCAGGGAAGTTGGACTAGGTGGTCTTTAAGGATTCCTTTTAACTCTAACAATTCTGTAAGCTGCTAGGACTGCAGGAAAGGATGTCCCTTTCTGCCTGCCGCCTTTCCTTCCCCATAGGGTTCCTGCAAGCTGGGAACAGACCCTCTGTTGAAAAGTCTTTCTGGCGTTGGATCTGTTTTCTTTATTTCATTAACTAACACAGGTAGAACCACTCCAAATATTACTTACACCAAACACGTGCCTGCCAAACCCCCTCCCCACACCAAGGACAAAAACGTTTGTTCACCAGATGGGTCCAACAGCTTCAGCCATCAGGGAAAGTGTTTGCTGTTCCCTTTTCCTTTCTCTCTGCTTATCACATGCCAGAAAAAGAGCACTCCTGATATAATTGGCTTTGGTCACTTTAAAATGTGTAGCTTTTGGCACTGTGAAATCACATCCTTTGCCGTCTTTCATCTCTGTAAGACACTTGTTTCCCCTTAATGTGGATACAGCATGTACATTAAATTATTTTGAGTAGCACTGTGCATTTTTTCTCATCCCTCACCCTGCTTTTTTAGTGTTTTATCACAGACTTCAGTAGTTCCAGTACTACATAGCCCAGAAGACCCTGATGTGACAGAAATCCAAGTGGGGACCACTGCATTATGTGCTTACTGCAGGGCAGCTGGGGCAGCACCCTGCTTCTGTGCCCAGCTCTCCACCCAGAGGCACAGCAGGGATGGGGCCTCATCCAGCAGAAATACACACTTAGAAACTTCTACTACCCAAAGCTCCTCCCCTGGCAGAGCTGGGCTCATCCTTGAGCCCACCCAAGAGCACAAAAGCAAGGAACATGAAAGCTGTTAGGGACTACATAAACACACAGCCTGAAATGGCAACCAGCAGTTCAGTGAGCCCAGTACCTACTTCGCATGTTAGCACCAGACAGAACCTGGGGAGGAGCTGGGGACTATGCCTGGTAGTGTTGCTCAAAGAGGAGACCCAGGGGTTTTAATACCTTCTGCAGGTACAGGAGGGCCAGATTGAGAGAGCAACAATGGAAAATGGTGGTGACAGCAAACCAGCACATCTGCATACACACAGCCTCACACAGCCAGCGTTTGTGGTCAGCCTGGTTGTGCAGACCTCACTCAGCAAGAGCTGAGGAACAGCCCCTGCACTTAACACTCTCAGACATCAGCTCTACAGTTTTGTTCTGGCCAAATATTTATTAACCGGCAAGCAGAGGACTCTGCTTTACATTAAGAAACAAACTACTCTTTTTCCACACCCACACCAGTGTCTCTCTGAGCTGGTCTGTCCATTACAGGCTTAAATCTGCTCCCACAGTGCTGGCCAGGATGAGCAGGTAGTTCATCAGCCAAACCTCTTACATGCTGGGCACAGCAGTACAGCAGGAGGCAGCGCTGACTGCAGGAGAGCTGTTCCACGTCTGGACTGGCAACATGGCAGCGTTTGCACTTGGCTTCAGAGTCCCCTGGCACTATGAGCGTTTCCATCCTGGAACAGACAAAAAGAATCAGATCCGTGTTTACATAATTCAGCATTCATAAAACCCTTTGTGTGTTCCTGACAGCAAAATGAATTATTTACTAGATGGGTCTGGCAACTGCGCAGGCAGCTGAAGCCAGGCTTTGGGCTGTGGCGGCTTTCTGGAGGGAAACTGTCAGTCTGGGAATCCCCGTTTCCACCCTAAATTTACAGCAGAGAGATGAAAGGAGGATGCTGAGCAGTGGAGCCTTCAGGGAGCCTGGGGAAGCCCCACTGTCCTTCATGCTACCTGAGGTGGAAGGACATACACCCCCCCCCCCCTCCCCCCAAGGAACACCCTGAAGGTCTACAGCCAGCTTAACCTTTTGTTCCCCAAATTCAGATTTTGCAACCATTTCCAGCTCAAATTTACTCACTGGGCTCACAAGCCAAATGCTGAGGCTTGCAGCAGCCCTCATGGCTTTGCTGTGGAGGAGGAGATTCCACAGTCAGGTCTGCAGCACGAGGAGAGGTAGGGCAGACTCTGGGTGCATGAGGAAGCCAGCTCCTGCAGCCCCATGCACTGGACAGCAGGCTGTCCTCACCCTCCAGAACAAACACAATTACCTCTGCACCAGAACCAGCAGCAGCTCTGAGACTTTCTCTGAGTGCTCTATCACTGCACTCACACCAAAACTATCCTCCCAGGATACTGAAGACATCATTCAGCTCCAATACAGATCTGCCCTATGTGTAGTTTGTGTTTCAGTTTTTTGCCTCTTTGGACATCTGGTCCATTTGTTTCTAGGCTTTAATTCTTTAGTCTTCTGGTCTCATCACCAGCAGTTGTTCTCCCCTTCCTCTTGCTGGAAAAGCTGCCCCACCAAGGCCACTCACCCTGAGCAGCCTCTCCAGGTGCCCAGTTCAGCAAGAACCAGAGGCCTCTGCACACAGAAAGACAGAGAAGCACTAAAGCATCTTTTTTTTTTGGCACCGCAAAAAGCTGTGCTGCAAAGATCCACTCATTTTCAGAGAGCCAATTGTCTGAACCCTGCAGTTCAGATATGTCCAATGAACTTCAAAGATTGCCACTATTTTCATACTATATGCAGATTTAGGCAATTAAGAGGAAGTCTTGGGGCTGACTGTTCCAGTGCTCCACACAATGCAGCCTCATACAGCAGGGGTTTGGGGACATCCCTGCGATGCTAAACCAGGCAGGTCATTGTGCACATGTCCTGCTGCTGACCTTACAATTCAACGTATTTGGTTGCTTCAGTACCACTGAGAGGCCCATCCGTTATAGTTGAAGTTGTGCACAGGTATAAGCAGTGAAGGCAGCAGTCGTGGAAGTGTTCCAAGTAACCTGTAGATGTGGCACTTCAGGGACATGGTTAATGGGCGTGGTGGGGAAGGGCTGATGGTTGGACTTGATCTTTTCCAGTCTGAATGATTCCATGACAGATGTGTAGATGTACATCACAGGCACAGAGTGGGAACTGCAGGTAATTGATCACAACCTTTTGTGGGTTTGAGGCTAACCCTAATAGCAAACAGCTCGTATCAGAAAAGAATTGTGGAGCTAAACTTGGGAGAAGCTTCTCTTGTATCTTTTGTATTGAAAGTTGGAGTTGTTCCATGTGATGAATGAGGCACAATCCAAAGCACACCGAAACCTCAGGATGAAGGCACTCAAAATCACCAGAAGTCTTTAATCCCCCTACGGTGGGGATTACTGCAGTCTGAGGCTCTTACTGCAGTGGTGAAGGCTGCTGTTAGAAGTGTGACTCACAGAGACCCTGGCTCATGCTAGCCCACATCAGTGTCTGCTCTCCTCAAGACATGGGGAGGGAAGGCAGTCTCCTTGGTTGTGGTGGTCCAGGCTCATGTTAGTGCCTGCCAAAGGGTAGATAAGCCCAGTCAGAAATTCACAAAACGCTATTCCTTCATTAAGTGATCTTTGTTCACACACTGGTGGCTTTTCCTAAAATCTTTTTAGCAATCAACAAACGCCTTCACCTAAAACGTCTCTGTTCCCTTGAGATTCTACCACTACTATACCTTTAGGTTTAAGAAAACCAATCCTTTCACTGCTCTTCCAAGTACCCAAGAGAGATTTTTAAAGACAGGTGAAGTAAACCTAAACTTGTGATGCTTCTGTAGACCCAGAATTTGCTCAACCTTGCCGAAAACCAGTGAAAAACATTCAGGGTTGCTCCCAGAGCCCAGCAAAAGAGAACTGAAATGGCATGTTCTGTACCTTGATGAGCTCTTCCAGAAACAGACCATCTGAACTCCTGTAGAGCAGGAGAGCAGCTTGGAGCTGCACCACTTCAAAAGTTGCTTATCTGGAACTGTAACAGCTGCTGTTGGAGGATTAGCTGAAATTTATAACACTGTTGAGGAGATAAGAAGGCATTTTGGGAAAGAGGGCAAATATTTGCATGGAAAACTTGTCAGTTGCAAAGTCTTCATAACTTACCTGAAAATGATTCCTCAAGAAACAACCTACAGTTTTAAAGGCTAACGCAACTATGCATTATTTTAATGCTAAAGAATGACAGGAAAAGTATATTTACAGTAACAGCACTTCAGTGAGAGCTTTGTATTTCTAGGCAATTATGTGACCTGCCCAAGTTTTGGACGCGCCTAAAAACCGTAAGAAACCTCAAGATTCCTACACATCCATCAGTTGGGCATAGCCACCATCACAGAATCACAGAATGGCCAGGGTTGGAAGGGACCCCAAGGACAATGAATCTCCAACCCCCTGCCACATGCAGGGCCACCAACCTCCACATTCAATACTAGACCAGGCTGCCCAGGGCCCCATCCAACCTGGCCTTGAACACCTCCAGGAACAGAGCATCCACAACCTCTCTGGGCAGCCTGTTCCAGCACCTCACCACTCTCTCTGTAAAGAACTTCCCCCTGACATCCGATCTCAACCTTTCCTCCTTGAGCTTAACCTCCTGGAGCTTACCATCCATAGCTACACCAGAATAAAACATATCACAGATACACTTTGAACAGTATCGGGCTACTGATGTCATTTACACCTGCAACAAAACACCTCACGGCACTCAGCAGACTGTTCTCACCACCTACAGTGAATAGAAGCCCTAGGTCCAAATGAATCCACGAGCATCATCAAACCATCTTGCACTTTCCTCTTAAATCTCGCACATTCAGAGATGCAAGTGCTTAAGTGCCACCTGAAGGTCAAAGATGAGAAGGCAAAGAGCATCCCTCCCTCCCCAGCAAGGCAGATGTGCATCAGCTGGGACTCAAAAGCAGAACACTGCCAGGCCCCATGTCACTACAAGTTCATTTCTGGAGAGTTTTTATACATCTTCAACTCTCAAATTATGCTATGCTACAATGTTTTCTAAACAAATAATTTAATATCCAGTTTATCAAAGTAAGGAAATCGTTTTCTTTTTCACTGAAACATGGTGAAAAAAGGTCACTGTTTTATTCAGCATCATAGTTACATAGCAGTTGTCTATTACTAGAAAGTAATTATTAAAATAATCCTGAAAGACATCTTTTCTTTCTCCAATGATTTCAAAACTATGCCTTTTTAATGCCAATTCCACACAGCCGCTGATCTGATCTGTAGTAGTCAGTTATAGCAATTGTCAAGGCAGGCACAAGCTCAGCTCTGCACGCCAGCTGTAGCTTGTATTATAAAAGAGATATGCCAGTTCTGTCTTCGCTTACAAATGCATAATCCCTTTCTCATATATTGCAACAGGAGAAATTAACATTAAACACAGACTACAAAAGGTAAAGGATTTATTTCTGATATGATTTGTTGAGTTAAATTAAAAACCTACTGAATATGTTCTGTAGCAGATGAACATAACCTCATTACTTACTTTCTAACAGTTTATTTAACGGTTGGAAGTGTACAACATGAAGTAGGCCTTCAGGTTTAATATTTTTCAATTTTGCTTATCATTGGATGAGATTAAAACACAGCAGCCATCCCTTTAGATTATGTTGCAACACTGATCATGTGCCTTGATAAGGAGGAACAAATGATTCATTAAATAAATGGCGATGACATAACACGTAGGGAAGACTTTGGATTGTCTATTTAAAAGGTCAACATAATAGGCAATTAAGAATAAAACTTCATTTTAAGTGCACTTCCACATGCTTTGTTTGTAATGTAGCAAAAACTTCCTAGTTCCCTCCCCCCAAACACTTCATCACTCCCTACTCTAAAGCCGTTCAGTTGAAAATGCACTTTTCCCCAGTAAACTTTTTTCTTCTTTAGAAAAAGTAACTAAAATTTCTACCCTTTCGTATGCTAAGAAATGTTTTTCTAATTAAAACCACAATTTATTACAAGACATGTGAAGACAACATATAGTGAAATGAATTTTAATTGTTGTGCTGTGACTAAAGTAAAGTTTTCAAGGCTGCAATTTAACATTCCAAGTTCTCCCTTCCATCTTTATTGATTCTTAAGGTTTTGCACAGAAACTCTTTGGGGGCTAGAACAGCAGTAATTGCATCACACTGTTTTCCAAGACTTCAAGTTTCAAAAGCAAACTCTTCAAAAAGTACAGTTCTTGATTTGATTAGATACAGGGACAAAAATATAGCACATACTTGAAGGTTACATAGTCTACAAATGATGGCAATAGTTTCCTTGGGAGAGTACAGTTTGTTTTCTTGTAAATACTCAAAAAGGCTCAACTTCAAGCAGTAATAAACACAAGCAAAAGTGATTTAACCCTTAAAATAAATATTCAGGAAAACCTCTCTGTACATACAAGTGAAAGAATATGTAACACTTTCACGCTAAAAGAAAAAATAAAGATTTTGTTCATATAAGCAGCTGAAATCTGCTGTTCCAGCCCAATGTCCCCAGTAAAGAAGGGAGGCACAAACACAGGTGACTACTGTAGCTCACTATCTTATGGCCTTTTTGGACAGGGACATCACCACCATCTTTTTTTTTTTTCATCCCTTTTGTTACATTTATTACAGCATGCCAAATCCCTTGGCGTATGTGATGGCCTTCAATAATCTTTCTTTAAGCTTTTCTTTGCTTGAGTACTCCGGAAGCAAAAGTACATTAAAGCATGTGTGAGATGTAGGTAACCTGTGGGGAAAACAGAAAATAACTGTGATGAAGGAACACGTACACATGCACTACGCGCAACAAAATACGCTGCTGTTTCATTACTACGGATTTCAGAATTCAAAGAGCATCCTCTTTGCTTCAAGCCTCAACTTTCAGATTTAACTAAGTTAATAAATTAAATGAAAGCACAGAATTTGTTTCCGTTTATAAACAAGCAAACAGAATTTTACCTCTCTGTATCTGGGCCATTTTTGGCTATGATCATCTTTAACTTTCCAAGTCCTCCCACAGGGGCTCTGTCTGTGCCTGTTGTAAACTGCAAGAATAGTCTTTTCTGTTCATCTGTAAATGAATGGACTATCTCCCAGAATTCCCTAGTGAGGAAGAAAGAAATCAGTGAATTGACATCAGTCTTCAGTGCGAGACCTTCAGAAGCAATTAAACTTTGGCATTTTAGAAGTCCAACCAATCTCACCAATTCACAAGTTACATTCAAGAAAACCCTCACAACATATTTACCAATCACTGAGACAACCAGGTAGAAATTAGAAATATTACCAAAATACTGTCGTTTACTTTGATCCGCAAACATTCTCTGCCTCACTATTCTTCTGCCCCCTGCAGTAGTACTGGTTCCCCTATACTGCTCAACTGAACCACCTGCTTTCTTAAACACCACAAACGCAACTGCTGTCAAGAGCTCTGCTCCATCACGAACAACAGTTCTATGACACAATCCAGAAGACCAAAGACACGTGTCTCTGATTCTTGCCTTCACAGAGCTCCCCAGTCAAAGGGGACAGAAAAGGAATAAGCACACTAAAAGCATTTCCCCTCTTTGAAATTGTTGAGTTTGCTTGATTTCTGATCAGAGAAATAAGAAGTTCTTCACACACTGTGCCTATTCAAACAATTCATTCCCCCAAAGAAAACCAAAGCGATGTTTATTTAAACTGTCCTATTTGAATGACATAAGAGAAAGATAAAGTCCCAAATAAACGAACGTTCAAGATTTACAGAAGCTCACTGGAGGCCAAAGCATTAATGCTCTAATTAACGCTCTAACGACAGTACTTGTGGAATTATAGAGAAGACTTAAATCCAATACCTCAAAAATACAAAATCTTATGCTATTAAATTTGTTACAAAGAAGCAGGAAAGCAAACTGCTTGTAATCTTTCAGAAATTAAAAAAAATTACCTAATAATAAGAGAGTCTCTTGTATAGCCACCATCATATTCTGTAGTTTCTTCTAGTGCTTGAAAATCTAAATTCTGTAAGAAGATGACATTTTTAAGAATGACCACTAATTACATTAGAATCAAAAAAGTTCCACTTTTTCTGATGTACATTCAGGACTCTTACCCTACTTCCACAAATAAGTAATTCAATTTCCTCTGGTCTAAATAAATATTTCAAAGGAGATTCATTGGTCACCATGTGGAATCCTCTCCGAAAGGCCTTGAACTGCTTTTCTACGGATTTATTGAGTATATAGTCAGCATACAGATTGACAAATTCCTGTAAGGAAACAACCCCCAAGAAATCCTTAGTACTTTGATACACACTCCACTCAAAGAATCTCCTATTAATGTAAGACTCCAAAATAATTTAACTCTATGGCTCTGCCCGGATAACCTGGGCTTAGCTTCTACTCAGTAATGGTAGGGAGCAAGTCTCAAATGTTTCTCAAACAGGTCAAAACACCCCCATAGAAGCTATGTATTTATATGTATACATATATATGGGTATAATATACATGTATACATATAAATACATACATACGTATGTATGTATTTATCAGTGCTCCCTTTAACAAAACAAAAGCAGAACAAATAAATATATAAGTAAATATAGGCTTTTACACTTCCATTGTGAGAGCAAATCTCTATAGAGTATTTCTGTACAGAGCACCCAAAAATTACCAATTACTTTTAAGAAGTTACTTGAGCACAAAGCATACCTTTCTATTTTCATTTGTAATAGGAATTTTATCACCGTTTTCCTTTAAATCATGCATCATTGGATTGCCAAAGAGATCCGTGTGAGATATTTGAAAAGTTATCATCATATCATCTTCCACACTTCCTTCATACTCTAGCAAATCTCTCAAACTCTGGTAAAGAACCTATTAGATTAAGATACAGAGCTGTCATAAGTAAGTTTCAATACAGAGCAATATCAGAAGACACGAAATAATCTGTCATGAAAACAGTTGTGACAAGTTACTTAATTTCCATTCACTCCTAACAAACAAACATCAAACTCACTCAGTGTTTGTAAAAGCAACCAGGAGCACATGCTAAGGAAAGAGAAAGATATAAAAGGCAACAAATGACAGTAACGACACGAGGAAAGCTTACTATTACCCAGGGGTTGTGTCAAACACTGTGGTCTGATCTGTGGGTTAAGAGCCAGTGATTAACTTCTAACTCCTTTGAACCCATATTTACATCCAGAACATTTTAAACCACTAAGTTCAATTTGTGCATTAAAAATCACAGAAATAACTGAATCAGAGAAAAAAAAAATGGACAGCAGGTTTTTATCTCCTACATCTTGATTTAAAAGGGAATTAGGAAGTAATGTAGAAGCAAGCAACATAGATAGGACAGTCATTAAATTAAGAAAGTGTCTGTACAAAAAAAAAAAAAAAGTAAAGTAGTTAAGAAATCCC